GACTCATTCAGTTATTCGTATAATAGGTATACACAATTAATTATAAAGTACCTATTAATATAAATTATTAATGACATTAACTATTAATATTAGAACCAGGGATCGAAACCGTATCAAATTTTAACGGTTCCGGTTCCGGTTTTTGAGAACAGTTTTCTACATTTTCTGGTTTTGGTTTAGGTTTTAAGATTGGTTTTTCAAATTTGCTGGTTTTGGTTTCGGTTTCAAAAAAGGTTTTTAAAATTTGTCGGTTTCAAGAACGGTTTTTTAAAATTTTGATTTTATTTTCCCGCATCTAATAACTGTAGACCGAATTTTTATTTTCAATTAACTATTAAGGGCACGAACTATTTTAGGTCAAGAAATTGTTAGAAATTTACATTTTTATTAACATTTGTTGTTTTTATTACCAATATTCAATAGGCAAAAATAATAATTAATAAATAATAATATTATAAATACAATATAATATCATTGTTTAGTACCTGTGTTGTAATAGTTAGTAAGTAGTAGTAATTAGGTAATTGTGGCACTAATTCGCACTATGTCTTTTGTCTAGTTTTCATAAAAAAAAATTAAAAATGTGTAAAATGTCTATAAATAACGTAAGAATTGTTGAAATATTTTGAAAATTTTATCAAGTATAGGAATTGATAAAATAAACATTTGGTGATAATTTCAAGTTTCTACAACAACTCGTATTCATTTTTTATTAACAACAAAATAAGTATCGGTACAAGAGAAATTTAGTGAATATTCAATATGATGTAATTCTAATGCTCATAAAAATGTATTAATAATTTTTTATTTGATAAAAGTAGACAAACTTATGAAGAAAATCTTGTATTGAATTTTCAAATCTTAGATTTAAAAAGATAAATTTTTATGAATTTCTAACTTAAAATAAATTTCAAATGTTCGTGATTTTTACATATTTTGTCCAAATTTGAACTTTGAATKCTTATTAAAAACATTGTAACTATGTATTATTAATGTTTTTTAACTGCTGTTGTAGCAATATATTAGAAACTTTGTATTAAAGTTTGAAGCTTTTTTACCAAACTAATAACATTTTACTCTCATTTATAAAAAATAAAAAT